ATGGTGTTACAAAATAATAAATCAATGAGACTACCAAGAAATTATCATTTTTATAATAAAAGTCGATTAAAAACTATTTATATTTCTAATTTTATCAATCGCATTAAAACACTATTTTTTGATTCCGAGTATAAAATATTGTCTCTAGTTTGAGTGTCGTGGTACATTTATTCATCATCATCAGTTAGTGGTTAATTTAAAGAGTAGAATATTTATTTATTTATTCAATAAAGCACACGTCCTTCCCTAGATACGAAGTAATTATCAAACTTCAGCATTATCAAGTCAATAGTTACGTAAAAATGTAACAGATACAGTTTATAATAATATTGTTTTTGTGGATTCATACACTTTGCAATGGCACATGTGGTCACCATGAAACCTGAAATTTTCGCAATTGATTTTATAATTAAATGTCTTCACATTAAGGCTAAAATCTATTGCTGTAGTGGCTGTGAACACGAATATTCATTTACAAAAAAATGTGGGAGATTTTCGTCATGTCTGGCCACAATAATTTAAGAACAGAGATACAAATTTGATGAGATCGAAAAAAAATCATGTATTCAACGTGAAAATGTTTTGGTGGGTTTGGTATTTGTCAATGGCCCACACTAGATTTCATATGAAGTAATGGTTTCTAACTCTATACGCTCAAGCTCTAAAAAATTATAACTTCAGAAGCTCTAAACCTTAGTCAAAATATGTAGCTTGACTGTTTCGCTACCGTAACACGGGTGTGAGATGGAAAATTTACTTTATTATTTCTTTTCTATTAAATATTAGCTTTCCACTTTACTCATAGATCTAAACTCCCCTCCCGCACGCGCACGAAATTGCCTTGCAGCAGAAATCGTAATATTTTAATTTCGCCATTACTTCCGAACCAAACGTCCAATTTTAATCATTCAAAGACCAAATATTATCTACATAAACTTTACTTAGTGATGAAATAATTTTGATAATAATTAACAGCATGAGTAAAATAAACGCGTTTAAATGGAGTAAAAAAAAAAAAAATATTTTTTAAATAAAAAATGGTTGTTGTGCCTTACTCGACATAGATAGGTTTAGTGTGTCGCGGACTTTTTTCTAGATATTTATAATATCTACAATTAATTACAATATTTTATGGTTCTATCTTTTATAGTTTAGGCAGCGTACGCAAAATAAGTAACTTATCTGGTTGATTTTTTACACCTTGTGTCGGAAAAATCCAAATATCTTACGGAACCCTATTTTTTTCCAAAATAACATATAACCTATGTTACTCGTGGATAATGTAGCTTTCGAATGGTGAAAAATCGAAGGTGTCCAGTAGTTTTTGGGCCTATTCATTACACACACAAACATACAAACAATCAAATCTTTCCTATTTATAATATTAGTATAGATAGTCCATGTGCATTCAAAACAACAGCTTATCTAAATTATCAAGTTCCATCAGTACAACAATATCTGTATTTTTACATTTATTATTTATTTAATAAAACGACTATCTAACGGTTTTGGTGAATTTTGGTAACTCTTACAAAAAACTAACATGGCGGCTCCCAAGGATCCATAAAATTATGTAAAAAGTATACAAAACTAAAGAAGTAAATAACTGAAGATGTTTACAATTTTACAGTGTATCTGTATATAAAACTAAAATATTTGACACCTTTACTTAATAGATTTTACAGAACTAAATTAAAAAATATTTGTTTTGTTATATCTAACAAATATAAAAATTAGTTTGTGTGATAGATACCAAGACTAGGGTATATAGCGGGAAAATTCAAATAATGGAAAAACATGCCGTTATTATGTACAATTAGATTTAAGTGAACTAATGAACTTATTATATCCTACTAAAGGAACGAAGGGAATTTGAATTCGGCTTCATATTATTTCTCTCTATACAATTATAAAATTTGATTTCTTAGTCCTAGAGATAACTATAACTTAAATAGGAAGAGAATATCCGGCATTAAAACCGAACACTCTCTTTAATACAAGTAGTCAAGAGCGACGCAACTCAATATAAACATTAATTAAGTCCTCAAAGGGCGCCCTGATAGGGTTGCCTCTTCATTAGCATTATTATTCAGATGTTATTATAAGTTTCTCGGCACACATAGATCAGTTTCAAGACTAAATAGAGTTAGTACAATAATGTTCAATTTTGAAACTAAATTGATATATACTTATATGTTCATTATAATGGCTATTTCTTTAAGGGCCTTAAGGACGGGAAGCATGCCTATAGTACATGCTACAGATAATAGGAATATTAATGGCTATTTTTTGTCTATAATATTAGAAGGTATAATATTAGAAAGTCCAAAACATAAATATAAGATAATTATTGATAAATACCAAAGAAGGAAAATACATAAGTACTAGCTTTTGCCTGTGACTTCGTCCACGTGATATAGTTACTTTGGATATCATATTTTCCAAAAACGCTGTTGTTTTTTGAGCTGATGATGAAATTATCTTGATGTTTAAGTTCGAAGACAGTACAACAAAATACCAACGAATGTCCAATATGTTTCAGCACTTTATCTTTGAAACTTAAGATATATTAATCCAATTCAATGCAATTTGAAATAAAGATGAAAAAAAAAACAGTTCTGAAGTTTACACAAAACTTAATCGAAAACGTAATCTACGTAAAATTCTTTGAAAGAAACGTTACCGCAGATTACTTTAGAATAAATGCCATCTAGAACACAGCGCCATCTATTGGGTGTATTTACAACCTAGATGTCAAGCCATACTGAAGAATTTTATCTATGAATCAACGTACACCGCCATGTATGAGAACTACATAAAACATTCATAAGAAACAATTAATTAGAACATTTTATTTGTTTACATTCACGACATTAAGCGATTAATTGAGATGATAACTATCCTAACCAAAATACGGCTACATGTGAAATTTGATAGAAATCGGTTCAGTAGTTTTGGAGTTTATTGGGAACATACATCGTGACACAAAATTTATAAGATAATATAAGTCAGAAGTAAATAACAGGCAATAACGCAATAAGTCAGAAAATCCCTAATTATAAATTCCTCATACGGATAAAGTAGCTCCTAGTATCTGCCCTAGTAACAAACGATATTCCGAATTCTCATTAAAAAATCACGTCAACCACTGATAATAACAGAAAGCAAACTTAACGGACCATAAAGAAATACAACAAAGCATATTTTTAACTAATTTTATTTAAATAAATTCAGCAATTAAAGAATTATTTTTTTGCAACCCTAATACCGGGTGCGCCAGCGCAGTGCAAGCAATCAACCGGTCGTTGAATCCTTTGAACGAGCGATTTATCTTCTGTTTTGTCGTTTTTTCGGAAAGAGTAGTCGCTAATTAGAGGAAACCATTTCGGGGAAGCGGGGTTAAACTGAAATGAAGCTGCGTAAACATTTTGAAATCATGACTAAGATTAAACGTTTTATTTTAATTACGTCCCTTTAATATCTACTTATCTGTTTTAATGTATATGCTCACACAGCGGCTCATCAAGGTACCACAATAAATCAGATTTCTCAAGTTAATTTTAAACTCCACCCACAAGACATTAAGGTTTACAATCAAATGGAGGAATCTGACATATTTGTATAACCTGACGTGCTGTTGACTGTACAATTGTACAATACACGACTGCACGAACATCAAATCAACAAAACGTGAATTTATATTTTTTTTACAATAGTAAAACATGATCTTCTAATAAAATTCACCATTCATTAGTTTCTTTATGTAATTGTACCCTCATTTATAGGAAAAAAATCATAATATGTGAGCCACTTTATAGCCGAGGATGTTATGCATCACTATCGATTTGCGAAGAAGACATTACATTAATAATATTGGATGAAATGGTCAATTGTAATTAAATGCGACACAATTATTACCTTAACTTAATTGGCAGAATGTATACCCTGTTCTATAGAACAAAACAGATCGATCGTACATAACAACCGACAAACGATTGAGTAGCGTACAGGAAGACGTTCGCTTCATTTTTTAATTAGGAAACCGGCTCGGTAAAAGCAACCTTCCGTCATAGCCAGCAGGAAAGCATCGGTGATGTGTAATAGAGTATGCGCACAATCGCACGCGCACGCGCATGTCCAGTTGCACCGCGTATTCCGTACAAGACGCCCGTGGACTGTCACTGTCAAAAGTTCACGGTCATTAACACGCGATTACACATAGCGGATTTTGACAACCCTATTAATAGTCTATGGTCAATTAACGGAGGTGATTAAAATCTTTTGTTTTTTTTTCTCGATTTGTGACGAGTCACCGTGACGCGGTTAGACGTGAAAGCTATTAAAATAAGATATACCATTATTAAGTTTCATGAAATCTTCAAAAAAAAAATTAAATCCAATAATTATTATAAAAAAAATCTTGAAGTAACAAGTTCATAAATGATGAATAACTGAATCATAAAAACAATAATTATCCGTTCCAAAAGTTTATAATACATATAAAGGTATCTTTTAAGTTATAATAGTAAAAATTATGAACACACATTCAATAAAAATTTGATTATTGTATGTAAAATTTATCTTTATCTTCTGAATATATTTTAAATTTATTAATGATTAAAAAGAGTTTTCACAACAAATGAATGCATCTTTTCAAGACATTTATCATCCACGTTATTTAGACTTTAAAGATTCATTATTTAATAAATCGTGTTTCAAATGTTACGTATAGATGAGATGTTAAGTATGCGTTATCCAGTCATTGGCTCATCAATCACGCTATTATATTCCTTGTTGAATGTACATCGCATTCCAGCAATAATGTTTAACATTATTTTTGAAACACATATTTTCATATAAAAATAAATTTCACAGATGTTTAGTGCTCCCACCTAGTAACGTGCCGGAATCTTAATCGACTGATTATCTATAATTTTGGCGGGAAATCAAACAAAATGTTAATAAGGATGCGAATTAATCTAATCGTGTTGGTGATTTCAATGTCTTTGATGCCGACGCTCTTCGCAAAGGTACGAAAGTTATCGAAGAACCAAAACGGAGCACTGTCGAAAGCTAGATGCGATCTTGTCTGCTTCGAAACTAGCAAGGAGAATAAGCAACAGGTAATGTATTCATTCGTCTTATCGACTTCTTTAATTTCTTTAATGAGAAATGCACCTCTCGCTTTAGTAATACATGGCAGTATAATATCTATGTTTTTAGATTATGTTGTTGTTGAATTTAGTTTTATTTGTATATTTTTGTTATGTACTTCTGCTAAGTAATTGTATTATGTATGGATAAATTCAATATACAATTTAACTGTAGTTTCTTTTTTAATGACAGTCTTTAATTCTTAGGGTTAACCCACTAAGAAAACTTTCTTAATGTTAACGCATACGACTTTAAGGATTGTTGTTAAAACAAAAGTTTTGGAAGTATTTTTAGCAGCTGTTGTCAAATCTAGGGCATTGTTCTAATAGGTGACTGAGTGTTTATATGATAGTGTTTTTGTAGGAGCATTCGACTGTCTGTAATTTTTATTTTAAATCTGTTTAGTTATTTAAAGAGTTAATCAGTTTGTTCGACGACCTAATATAAATACTTTCGCAACTAACAACCTTGACGTTTTATTAAAACAGTGATAGGTAATTAAAATGATAAGAAAAAGTAAAAGTTAACTATTTCCTGAAAGTAATGTAGTTATGAAATATTATACAATTAACAGTCAGGATGATAGAGATCATAGCCCTGAAAATTCCCAGAACCCACCCTAATACCGTCCGCGATTAATTAATTAATTGACCGCGACACGAATTATTATTGAATATAAATTAGTTTGAATGTGAGCGTCTTAATAAAAGAAAGGAATATTACTTATACATAGTATGAGATCTTTTAAATTACATAGTATTTATCAATATACGCCATGGGTGGCCGACCAGTCGATCGCGACTATTAGTCTATTCGATCGGGGTAATAGGGATGATGACTGGGTAAAAAAAATGCACTTCTATTTAGTCCGTCAGTCAGGTAATAGAAAAATATTAGATACGTATTTTTTTTTTTTACTTCATTAAAGTTGAGGAGTGGGGTCTCGCTACGTCACAGTTGAGTAGAAAACGTACTCTAACGTGACGTCATGCGATATTTCAACTCAATGTAACGCCGTAATTTTATGATTACGAAAAAATTTTAAAAATACTTGTTTAATATTTTTTAACTCTCTACCTGACGGACAAACAAACAAAAATTAGTCATCATCCCTATTCAAAAATTAATTAATAAAATAAAAATGCTACATAATTGTGTACGAACTATGCTGTTTTATTTAAGATTTTAAGAAGTAAAGTAATTGGTAAGTATATCTCACTGGGTGTCAGTGAAAAGTCTATCTTGGGCTAAATAAGTTGGCCAACCCTGATATACAGTACTTCAAGAGGCAAGTTTATATGTTCAATACAGGGCCAAGCAAGCGAGCCCGCCGCGGAAAGCTAGTGATAATATAAATCTAGCACATAACAAAGTTATCGTAACGTAAAATGTAATAAAGTAAACCATCGACTGTATTTTATTAAATCTTTTTATATTACAATATATTGGTGAATCTCCTAGTAGGAGACAATAATTTACAATTACCACTTCAAATCTGGAGTTCTGGCTACGTAATAAGTTATATCTTGCTTTTTCTGGAAGTAAAAAGAAAACGAAGCAGTTTGATAATATTGTCTTCTGAGCTGGAGTTTTTTTCTATAATAAAACAATATTTCAATCAATAATTGAACTTATAGGCTCTTTTTCTGCTTGGCAAAAAACTGTATATTCTCTTGATTACGTAAATAAAACAAAGCCTAATGGGGACTTAAAACCAATAGGTCATTATCTCTTCCTCGACCATCCACGAGGAAGGCCTGAGGAATGTTATATACATACTCGTATATGCCGAAATGATATGAAATGTAATTGCTGAATAAAAAATGCATATAGTTTCTTTAAGTGAATTTTCGCAATATTAATAACATTTACTTTATTTTACTTTTCACGTAAGTAATGAAATTTGTCGAATATAAGAGGATAAACAAAAAATAAAGTTACATACAACTTTCACGGTGTAGTTTAACACCATGAAAGTTGTTTAGTAAATATGAATCACTAATTATATGGGCACTGCTATTTTCAAAATGAACATGTTAATTCATGTTAACTGGCTAATAAAGAAGACTCTACATAGGTACGTAAAACGCAGTTGCCTTTCTTTACAGCGATGGTGTAACCGTTACACTATATACTTACTTAACGTAAATATTTATACTTTCATGCTTTTAAGAACAATAAGTCGCTAACACTTTCCATTCTACATCTTTTCTTTTTCAGCTATAACTGTTAGATCGTAAAACAATAACTTTAGTACTATTTTTGTATTACGATCATTCTCATGCGACGTCTTAGATTAGTCAAATATTTTACAGACTCCCTTCATAATTATGACAGTATTGTCATATAAACCGCATTGTCTTAATGATTTTCGCAGTGTCGGACGAAATGTCGCTCTGAAGAACAAAAGCCGGGGACTTGTCCGGCAGAAGATAGTCCAAAGTGGGCAGAAGCGTGCGTTGAAGCATGTAATGCTGATTCTCAATGTGACAGCACGCAGCGATGCTGCCATCATGGCTGTGGTTCCACCTGCAGTGAACCAACTGATCTGCACATAATACCAGGTTTGTGACCTAACATTAGGTATTTGTTACGTTTTATAGTGTCGGCTCAATGGTGCAGTAGTAGTATCTACTGACTGAGAAGGAAGGAAGGAAAGAATGAAACAGGAGATGGGTGATTAGAAAATTATCTTGAACTTTCCTGTTATTTGGAAGACAGGTACCTATACTGAGTTTTTACATTTAATCGCTTCGCTGAATATCCTTAAAGATCTTCTCAGCATAAGGTCTCTCGTCGTAAGTGCAGCTATGAATTTGTGCCATTATTCTCATAATATACCACACCGTTTTAATTGTGACGTGCAACATCATTCCTGGATATTTACTGAAGAATGCGCGATTGGTAAAGCTTAAAAAATTTAAATGTTATGATAAGGAAACATTTATATGCAAGCTTTTATAATTAAGATAGTTTGAATGTTACTTTTAAATTTTGTAGGTCTCCCTGCTTTGCCATTAGTGGACAAAGTGAAGGAGAAGAAACGGTCAGTCGTCATTCAATGGTCTGATGGAGTGGGAGACGCAGCTAGAGCGGTACCTGGTCGGATATTGTATCTATTAGAAGAGCAAAATCACGTAGGACCAAAGTATGAAGAGTCAAAACTTGGAGAATGGAAAATGTTGCTGAGAACGAACAAGTTAGTAGAACTATATATCTATTAAGTAATATCACAGCAAAAAGACATCGTGTAAGATTAACAAATTCATTATTAATTTCTTTGAGAATAAATCCGTTAATGGATTAACTACTTTCTGTATTCCGATGCTCTATTTTTAGCCCACAGAAAATATTTATCTTAACCATAAAAAAAATCCTCTTTATTTTGTCTTAAAGCTAATTATTTACGATCTTCTAGAAATAGAAACTGCCGCAGAACTGTATTTTTATCAAGACTAACTTGAAGAATGGCGGTCTTACCTTATATTTGAAACTCGCGTTTTTATATTTCGAATAACTATACCAACTGTTTGGAGCAACATCACCCGCATAAATAATTAAGCCTATGACACCCACATATGATGCAGCTTTCCGAAGGTGAAAGATCTTCTATAATCTGCTCATCAATTATTCTTTTCACTTCCAGATACTTAGTTACAAATTACAAAATCAAAAAGTATGTATCTTTGTCTTTATTAACGTCTTTACCACAGCAAAAATATCTCGAATTCTTTAAACGATAGTTCTGAAGTTATTTCAGAAAATAGAACTACTATTACGCCGAGTTGTTGGTGCGATCCCCACCCCGGACAAACATTTTCTGATTAACCATTATGTCTGTTCTGTTTCTGGGTGTTTTCTATTTATATTATGTATAGATTTGTATTTCGTTGTTTCCGATATCTGTAACAAAAGTGCCTAAGCTTACTTACCTCGGAATCGGAACAATGTGTTTGATGTTGTCCGATATTTATTTATCTCCAGAACTATGAGCATACAATTTTGATTTTTTGAAATAATTTCTAGGAATTCTTATCGATAAATTAAAGTCCTTAGTTTTAAGAAGCTACTTTAAAATAAGAATACAGAACCCTCTCCTCACGCGTCTGACTGAGCTCTTAGTCGGTTTTAATAACTACAATTATTTGTATTGAATACCTTTTATTGTTGATATCTCCTAATTGTTGTCGTACACAAAACAATTTATGTGATTCATGGGCAAGTGTAATAAGCTCAGTCGGTATTATACCCGTATGGCTGTCATTCTTTATTAAAATCCATCGACTGGTTAATTTTTTTCATTTGAGCTAACATCATTATAGAATTTCGAGAGGGTATAATAAAGTCAGTATAGTTATCTTTCAATGTTCTGCGTCTTTTTCAAATAGATATATTAACATAACAAGATTTCATAGAATTTGTTATTAATTAGTACTTACATAAATTAATATTAGATGACATGATATACATTAGTCACATTATTGATATTGATTTTAAGGAAGACCTTTCTTTTAGCAGTAGAAATATTTTTTTCGAATTCATATTTAATTAACTTAAATAACATAAAACTAATTAACACAAAACTTTAAAAAAATATTTAAAAAAAAAAAAAATGATATATCACAAATAATGTTTTTTTAATACTAATAAAAAATAGTTAAATTTGTTATAAAGTAAAATAGATTAATTTGTTACAAATTATTTGTTATAATATAAGTTATAACTAACAGGAAAGAATATAAAATAATGAGCTTTGTTGATAAAATTTGTATAATAGTGGCTTTTACAGCCTTACATTCTACTTGTCATAGTCATTGGACTAAATATAATATTTAAATAAATGCGTGAAGTATTGACTTTATGCATATATTTTAATATTTCTTTAAAGTGTAACAAATAAAAGAATAAGGGTCAGGATTTTTTTTATCAAGTAAAAATACAATGCTTTATCATTGTGAGCATAAAAATTACTTTTAATCTCCAACCATCTTCTATTTGAGAGCGCCTTATTTTTGCAATCTAATAAATTAAGAATTAATGAAGTATTGGGTGATGTTAACTCAATTTCAGTTGTGATCCGATCTAATGTTTTAACATCACTTTCTTCTGAAATAACGGGATAAAATGTAAAGTAAAACATTGGTTAAATTTAATTTTATCAGTATGCAGAAACAATATACAAATTTAGATAGAAACAAAATTGTAGTTTAGTTAGTTTCATAAAATATTATAAAGGTAAATTATTTAGATAATATTAATACTATGAGCGATTAATGGTTTCAGTATATCATGTCATCTAATATGCTAGCAGCTAAAGCCCTCGTATTACGGTGTATCAGAAGCATCGAAAATACCACAACACCAAGACCAGAGTCATCTACATTAACCCGACCGGAAATTGAACTTTAGAGTAGAACACACTCGGAGTAGACAGTAAAATTGAATATCATAGTCTAGCACGCTTTTCTCGGCCCTAGAGTGAGATGTTGGGGCGAACCTAAGGAAAATAAACTCCTTAAGCGCACGGTGCACTCGAGATAAGTGACATTAGTGTGTACATAAAACCTTCTAGACTTCGTCATGATATGCGTGCAGAGAATGGTGAATTCGCGGCAAAAATGTTACTCGCAAACTGTCATGAAATCCCTCGGCTACGCAGTGATTTACATATTTATCAATTTTTCTTTTATAACTGGGTAGTACGAGTATAATTAAAACAAGGAATAAAAAAATATTTTTTTTTAAAGTAACTTTGAGATTTAATTCTGTCGAGAAAGGTAATATAAAATCACGTTTTGGTTGTAAACCCTTCGTTTTCTCATTTTGAATTACAATAGCTTTTTTGGAAGTTATTTCTTTTTATAAACCATTTAAAAGTTAATGATACTGGGTGTACGCACCCTCTTAATAATGTGACTTTTGCTTTCTATTACGTGACTTCCGTACACAAAGAATTAAACACTGGTATCACTAAACGCTTTATATTCATCGTTGCATAACGTTCTGGTCACGCAAATTTAAAGATTTTATTCATTCATATCAATGAAAACTAAAATAATTATATACCTACTTTTGTAAATGAAAATCGGCAAATTAATACATAATGCATAAAGTTTCAAGAAGTCTATTTTGTTATTAAAATAAGTACATACGTTGAATTTATAAATATTTCATATTGTTGACAAATTATCTTGATTTCGGTAATTTTAGGTAATGTATTATAAAATAAAGTAAAATCAATTTAGCTTTTGTTTAGTAAAAGTAGCTTTTTAAAAAAAAAAATCATCAAATTCATATTAATTATGGCTTGTTGGTTGAATAACTTATTTTTTATGATTTTATCTCATACATTCCGAAGTTCCTAACACACCGAAAAAAATGAAAAAGAACTGCTGTAGTACAGTCAACAGTATATCAGGCTATAAATATCTATCAAATTTCTTTACTTGAATTGAAAACCTGATGTTTTGAGGATAAAAGACATATTGCGGTAATAAAATGAACTGGACAAATCTAAAGACTAAAGGAGAAAAAGAAAAAAAGTTGTACTGCCAATAAGTCTTAATTAACAATGAGAATAAAAAGACTTAATGAAGTCAGCAGTAAGAAAGAAAACTCTTACTTAAGGGATTTGTAATAGCGGTTAAAAGTTTGTTTTCAAGGCCGAAGTTTTTGGAGTGAGAATCTTGAAATTTTGGCAATTAAATTTTTGAATTTAAAATTAGATACAAATAATATACTTTTATACCATTCTATTCATTCAATGGTCTAAAAATATCTTATTGTTAAATGTTAGTACTCGTAGTTAACCAGAGTGAATGCTAATCTCGAACAAAATTATTTCATAATATATTGAACTAAACAATTACATATTTCATAGTCATTACGAAGCAATTTCACTCATACAATGTTAAAAAATTCTTACAGTATGTATTATCGGATCATGATAATATACCATGTTCGTTACGATAAGAGACATTTATAAAATATGTATTGCCATAGGTGTAAAAAGTTTTTTTTTTATTATTTTCAATAGGAATAAGACCTCTTTGAAAAGTCTTCTAAAGCCAGGCCATTGGTATCGTTTTCGTGTGGCTGCAGTCAGCGCATCAGGTACTAGAGGTTTTTCGGCTCCCAGTACACCATTCACTCCAAGAAAAGGACCAAGACCTCCACCTGCTCCTAAGAAGTTGAGGGTGCGTCCAATTAAGTCGGATAATGGTAAGAAGAATTCACATAAAATAGCTGTGGCACGTTCTAAACATAGGTAGTCCCTCTATATATATATTTCACAGAGATTTATTTCACACATCAATATATAGTATTTACAAAGACACTTGAAATTTTTAGAGTTTACATGATACCTTGATCTTGGCATGCCACAACAAAAAATAACAAAAATCTCGTAAATTATATTTTACACTCCCTGCCCTCCTGTCGTTATCCTCATTACTTAGGATAGTGATTCCTTGTTTATTTGTTCGTCAGGTAGATTATTGAAGAATATTATAGATGTACTTTTTATTTGTTGCGTAATAAATAAATTACGGCGACACATTGAGTTGAAATGTCGCATGACGTTATGTCTTTGTATATTTTGTACCTAGTCGTTACATAGCGAGTGCCCTCTCCTCAACTTTAAAGCCTATTGCTTAAGCCATTTCTTGGTAAATTGAAGCAAAAAAAAAAATACTTATCTAATGTTTTTCTATATTTAAGTGACGGACTAAATCGAATTCCTTTTTTTACCCTGTTGTCATCTTTATTGCTTGCCATCTGTTTCTTCCTTTCTTTGACGCTGAGAAATGCGTTGCTCCACGGGTTATGTCGTACTCTCCCCTGCGGAGCAACCCCCACAGTGGGGACTGGTCAAAAAGCAGGGGCCTACCCTCTAAAACTCAGCGATGTCCCTCACTGCGGGGGAACGACGCGCAGTAACGGCCCCCAACGGGACGACTTCCCCATCATAACCATGCCATGCATGCCATCCCCGCTCGACCCGCTCCTTTTACAGGGCGAGTCCCTTCTCGGGTTTGGGTAAGGACTGAGGAACATTCGAGTCCAACCCCCCAAACAGGCCAAAGGGCGTGCAATGCCTAGCGAGCGCGCTAACCCGCTAGACTACCCCTCGTCAAAGGCAAGAGATGCGCAACTTCATCATTCACCCTAACCCGTCTAAGAGAGGGAGTTCACCTGGGCTGAACCTGGGCACACCGAACGGTGTGCAGTAGCTTGGTCCCGAATCTGTTTCTTCTCTTGGCTGAATGTAGAGCAATGCAAAAATGTATCCAAAGTTGTTCGGATCCATTCAATCCACTTGATTAGACTACGGCCTCTTGGTCTTCTGCCTGCCAACCTTATTGGTATTGTACTGATATTATGCTTGTACAGATTTTAAGTTCATTAAATGACGTCATTTTTTAACGTGAGACCAATTTCAAGTAGGTTTTAATTTGAAATATTGTTTTAATATGTTAGTCACACAAACGAATAAATTATTTATTTGTAATCAATCATATCCTCTCCAGGTACAGTGACTGTGAGATTGGAGTGGAAAGAACCAAATTCGGACCTGCCAGTGGTTCGTTATAAGGTGTTTTGGAGCAGACGAGTTAAGGGTCTTAGTGGACCTTTAGATTCTGTGTTGGTGAAACATCAGAGCGTCCCTAATGTACGTACCTGTTAGTAGAAAAAAAAAACAAATTAATAAGTCACTTTTAGTGTGGATTTTTTTATATAGATATAGATAGAGTTGAAAATTCTACTTTTATAATTGTTAATTTGGAATGAAACTAATCTGCTCAGGCGAGATTAGGTATTTCCTAGGTAACAATGCCTTGTTCTTAATTCTTTAATTTAAATGCTTAATTTTGCAGGACCGCAATTATGTGGAAATTGACGACCTCCAGCCGAACTCGATGTATTTCTTGCAAGTTCAAACGATAAGTCAGTTTGGTCAGAATAAGTTGAGGAGCAACAGAGCGTCTATATTCTACAACACTACAAGTGGACATGGTAATCAAAGGATCGGTATGCGTGTGACGGTTATAAAAGTTTGAAAAGTATTTCTAACTAAGTATCTAGGATCAATTATAAAAGGACCATCGCTGATACCACAGAACTCAGAAAGACGTTAGAAGGGCCTTGTGGGCGTGGCACTGGAGCCACGATCCTAGACAAATGTACAGGATCGTGACTTCACCACGCGATCGCGATGTTTAGTCATTCACGGACGCGCACGTTGTAAGTACTGTGAAACACGCCACTAAAAGTGTTAAAAATGCCGACTTTCGTAGTTATTAATTGCAAAACAAGAAGCCCATCCTTAAGTAGGTCTAAAGGAAGGATTTCTTTCCATTATTAAGTAGAACACTTCTCAAATTTAGTATTTTTAGTCGAAAATCGTGAAATGTTATCAAAAGTGTGAATCACAAAAAATATTTCCAAGAATATATACATTGCTGGAGAAGTGTGCATATTTATTACATTGCGTCGTACTAAGCACGTAATGTAATGAATATCGCGAAATTACCGTTTTAAATAGCAACATAATAGATTACGGTAGATGGGTAGTGAAGTGCCTGGAAACATTTAATCGATTATTGGTATGTTAGGTAGTAAAACTAAATAAAAGTATGGACAATAAAAATAGTGATAATAAAAAATAAATTTAATCAGAGATTAATCATATTGACTTCGTTTGGAATGCGTTTGTTTATTAATTTAATAATGAGTGTGGTAATAAGTCTGTTTTTATATTCTTAATATTGTAACAGAAAACTAGTTTCTTTTTTTTTTGAACCATTAACAACAATACTTTTTAAATCATCGGAGTCTGTTCAGGATAAGTTCCAATAGCATTTATTGTACTGATAGTATTTTTTATTTTGTATATATTTATTTACATTATATTGTTTGTCAATATTACTAGTTTCATTTAAGCGATGTTGCCGATCTTATCTGTTTACTTGATACGAAATCAAGTAACGTAACGTAAAAAAAGCCTACTATTATATTATTTATATGCATATATTTAAGCTCGACTAGAGTTTGGCAAGCGAAACGTGACACCACCTATTTTTCCGTTTTCATATGGCAACAACATAGAACTGTCAGTTTGACACTACGTTAGACAATTCAAGAATATTGAATTTTGTTGTTTTTGCGAATTTGAACTTGTGTTTTTGGTTAAAAATTATGTCGAAGCCGATAAAAAGTTCATCGAGGAAACTTCTTTCCATCATGATTGACAAGTTTACTGAAGTGAAAACTGAATTAAATAAAAATTTCATGGAGAAATTACAACGATTAGATAAAGTTGTATCTTTTTTAGGTTAGTTTTGTATTATAATTTTGATACTTTCGTTTTAATTTTCTGTAATTAACTAAACAGATATTTTTTATAAAATATTGCTCTATTTCAGATAACTGTGATGGTGATATTCAACCAATAATGGAGGAGATAAATGCAATAAAAACTTTAGAAAAACAAGAAATGCTGAATTCGGAAACGCAGTACTTACAAAAAATTTCTTCAATGACAGGTCTCTTTTCTTGTTTTGATTTAAGATAGATTGATAGTATTCCTATAATATTTACATAGGTTTTTTATGATGTATTGGTTTTTATTGTTGACATCCAATGATGTCATAAGAATGTTTTGTTTAACAAGGAAATTCACAGAATTCATGAAACTAATCAAACCATGTAATTGTTATACATGCTAAATATGCACATAAACTTAACTAAATTAAACATAAATTGCATTCATAGTTGAATAGGTATTTAAATTATTTTGATGTATGTGTCTATCATTATTTGCTTTTAAATACATTTAACATATCTTTGTTTCAAAGTGTTTAATCTTTTATAGATGTAAGTATAAGGACACTAAGAAGGATAAAAAATGAAGCATTAATTAATAAAGGAAAATGGGACACTCCTGGGAAAAAACGACCTCATCAACCAACAGTGTCTGCTTTAGATAATTTTGATTTAAGTGCAATTCGGAATAAAGTAAATGAATTTTACTGTGTGAAAAAAATTGTTCCAACATTAAGAAGCCTTCACAATGAATTAAAAGATGCAATAGGATTCAGTGGTAGCCGTGAGACTTTACGAAAAATTATGCTTAAGAATGGATTTTCTTTTAAAAGCAATGAAAATGAACGTTCTATGCTTATAGAAAAATACCAGATTTCTGCATGGAGGCACAAGTATTTGAGAGAAATAAATATAAAACGAAACGAAGGAAAGCAAATTGTGTACCTTGATGAAACTTATGTACATCAGAATTATAAAGTTAAAAAGTCTTGGCAAGGACCTTCAACAACTGGTGTCACTACAAAGATATCCTCTGGAAAACGGCATATTGTTGTGCATGCTGGATCTGAGGAAGGTTTTGTGCCTGGTGCATTATTAGTGTTCAGTAGTAAATCCAAATCTGCTGATTATCATGATGATATGAACTCATCGAACTTTATGAAATGGGTCAGAGAAAAATTAATACCAAATTTAAGTAAGCCCAGTGTAATTGTTATGGATAATGCCAGCTACCATATAAAACAAATCAATAAACCGCCTATAATGTCTAATACCAAAGCAGATATCCGTAAATGGCTTGTAAATAATGGAATACATTTTGAGGAATATCAGACAAAGGCAGAGTTAATGTGTTTGGTTAATGATAAGAAAACATTGCCTGTATATGAAGCTGAAGAGATTTTAAAAGAACATAATCATGAACTTTTATTGCTGCCACCGTATCATTGTGACTTAAACCCAATAGAGATGGTTTGGAGTCAAGCAAAAAGAAAAATTGCAAGCAGAAACATTGGAATACCAGGAAAGGAAATGGAAAACTTAATAATAGAGTGTTTTAACTTAATTACCCCTAGTGACTGGAAGAAATACACTGATCATGTTTTAAATGTCGAAAATGATTACAAATTAAAAGATGGCATTGTTGAAAACGAACTTGAAAAATTTATTATATCTGTTGGTGCAGACAGTAGTGAAGAGAGTGACTCTGATGATTCCTTGTCATTGTTATCAGGTGTAGAATATTTAGAAACAGATTTTGACTATGAATCAGACTAAAGTATTTTTAGTCTGATTCATAGTCAAAATCTTTTCTTAAATTTTCTATTGTGATTAACATGATGATTTTGTGACACCTGTATTATGTAATTTATCCATGGCACTTAATTGTAACAAAAATAAATGTTTTTTTTATTGTAATCTGGTGTTTATATTGACTAATTTAATTTGATAGATAGTGGTTCTGGATCAGAGCAAAAGGTTGTGATGAAAATCCCTTAGGAGACATGTATGTGTTATGAACACATTATAAATATAAGGGCCAGAAATCAAAATTGGCTAACATCACATTTATTAAAAAAATGTGGCCAGAGTCGCCCATATTCATTACAAAAAAACAAAGAAGTCGTTGCAAAAAACACCCTTTTAATTAATGACAAATATGAATTTTTAATATTATAAGTGCTGTTAGCCAATAGGTATAACGAATGGGTTAAAAAAAAGATTCGATTTAGTCCGTCAGTCAGATAATAGAAAAATATTGGATACGTATTTTTTTTCGCTTTAATTTAACAACAAATGGCTTAAGAGGTACTATGCGACGACTTCAAATATGCTTTGCAACAATGTTACTTTAATACAGTTTATCGATACGAAATCAAGTGTCAAAATGGAGTCCAGTGGAGAATGCCGATATTGACATTTCGAAATTGCTCATCATTGATAGAGAATACGAAATAGTGATTTTGACACAATCAAAGTGTCTATTTTTTACGGTGATGACGATTCTTGGTTGTCAGTTGAGTTAGTGAATAGGCCTACTGATATGCTGTTAACTGTACAATTAAGAACAGTCACGCTTTAGTCAAATGTTCCAAAACAAATAATTTTAATTGATATCTAAATGTTAAGATTAAATATAATTAATAAAAGTATCAAAATTATTTTGCAGTACTACATTCAGTGTTTACTGCTTAAGAATTTTTGAAATTGCCGCCCTTTTCTTGTGACACGTTTCGCTTGCCAGACTCTAGTACCGATTCAATGTTAGTTCATTAGTTATTTAAATATTTCTTATTGAATCAACCAACTAATTAAGAATTTATATGTAAAGAAAAAAGATAATGTCTCATTTTATCAATACAATTCAATGTATATCCAATATAATATAAAGAAATCATTAATCTAGTATCCTTTCAATTAATCGATTTGTTGTTTTTCAATATCGATAGTAAATAACTTTATGTCAATCACTAGTGTGATATGTCACTATAGACGTCTGTTATGCTTGAGCGTGATTGGTTATAGTTATATTGGAGCGTTCTGATTGGCATATTAAAATACAAGTGTGTGCATATCTTTTGTATAATTAGTCTGATTATTCGTCTGATGTACGGCGGACTAAAACTGGGGCGAGACTGGCTACATCGGTTTTCGTACAAATTATGCATGATCGCCTTTCTAACCTCTTTTCCGTGTTCTGTGGCTGATACTATTTCACCCAAGTCTAGATAACTCTTTATTTTAATAATGGCGTCTCATAAGAACTTGATTTTTTTACAAATACCTAATGGTTCATCATCATCAGCCCTTCTGCGTTCTCACTGCAGGGGCTCAGGCCTTCCTAATTGATGGTTAAGGAGGGCA